GTCGATTTCAACATCCCAGGCTGAAGCCTCTAAACTTTGATAAGAATGGGATGACGATGCTGGACAAAGAGTTGTGGTTTCATCGCTTTCTGTCATGGATGTCTAGTCTAGAATAGTATAAAAGCAAAATAAAAGAGGGGGTAAAACAAAGAGAAAGAGACAACGTAAAAAAAAGGGCCAGCAAAGAGAAGAAAGAAGGGAAAAAAAGAAGGGTCGCAGGGTTTTTTTTTTTATTTTTCAAAGGGCCGACAGCCAATCACGCACGTGCCTTTGGAATGAGCATTCCTTCAACCTGTTCCATCCGATTTTGAAGCTTTCCATGTTCATGGGATTCGTTTTTATTTTCCAAAATGCTACACTATTCCTCCATTTCATCGTCCAACGAAGCCTATAGGGAAACAAACATGAACACAATCATTAGGCATACTGATCTCTTTTACCTTGGCCAGTCGTTCAGCTTCGTCCTTGATGTCTTTTGGTACGAATTGATGTTTGAATTGAGATTCAGCGCAAATCCAGCTTAATTCCAATTCGAAATCCTTGTCTTTGGCGTCATCGTGACATGTGTAAATACTACAAAAATACAAAAATTAAGGCTTTGTGGAAGAACGAATCAAAAAAAAAAAAAAAAAAGACTTACATGCGTGTGATTTCATTGACAGCTTCACGCACGGTCATCTCATCAAGCTTCAATTTTTCAATTTCAGTCTTGGCTACAGACTTGCCTTTGCCAGCAGCACAACCATGATAACCCTATATGAGTGCACAGGATCTAGAGGTTAGGTACTCGCTTTGCAAAAAGGTCGCTCGTCATTTTTTTTTTACCCAGAATAAACCAGATGGTTCAATCATGTGCAAAGAGGGAACTCCATCGGTCATGGCACCAACAATAGCATTGATACCAAAGGGACGCACACTGGAATACAAGGTATAAGCCGATACATATTGACCCAAACGTTCGGCAATGGTCTACAAATTAATAAAAGCACATGAGATACCCTATGTTTTCGGAGAAGCATGGTGCAAATACCTTGCCAGGGATCGGTTGTCGGTAGATATCGCGCCAAGATTGAGCTTCTTCCCGGGCACGGTTGACCAAGTGACGACCGTCCGCTACTAAACCAGAAGACACCTGAACGTATATAAAATAATGGCGTTTACAACAGTGCTTCTATCGCTTTGACACCATCATATCCTTACAATGCCAACATGTAAATCTGCACTTTGAATTCGCTTGTTTGCACCAGAAACCAAAAGCTTAGATTGTATCAACTTTTCGACTGCAAGCACAACGCCATCCTTGACTCGTAAGCCAATCGATGTCCTATTCAAACGGTGAGTTGGCGTGCAGGGAAAACGAGTCGTGACAGAACCCTACCCACTATTATCGACTGCCTTGCTGGCATATTCAATTTGAAACACTCGACCATCAGGAGAATAGGTCGCCACCGACAAATCATACTAGATAAAATAAAAAGGGCACGACGTTGGATACTGGTTCATGATGGTTTTAAACCGAAAACCATACACCATGAATAGGTTACGGCTCTCTATAAACTTACACCAGTACCAATAGATGTCATTGTTGTATTGAAAATTTGCTTTGCAGAAAAAAAAAAAAAAAAAAAAGTAGAGAGAAGGCCGCGTATGACATTTTGGTGACGAAGCTCTTTTTTTTTTTTTTTTGCCGCTTCCAAAAAAAAAACCGTCACTGGAAATAAGAGGGAACAAGAAAAAAAAAAAAAGTCGCGCTTCCTCTTTCGACAACACTTTTCTATGGATTCTATTTACTACTATCGGCAGGGACAACCTCCTCCTCAGCAACAGCAACAACAGCAACCTCGTCCCATGGCTCATGCTCCTTATCCTGCAAACTATCGTCCTGCTCCTCCCGCCAGTCAAAAACGACACAAAGTAAACGCTCTTGCAAATTCTTTATCCTTTCGACTGATCTCTTTTTTTTTTTTGTGCACCTTGGCAGCCTTCACATCACACACCACCTGCTCATGAAGATCGCGATGAACCATCTGGAGGTAAACTTATGACCCATCTCTTCCTACCAGTCTCTAATCATCCTTTTAGATGAGCTGGATGATATTTCAGCAAGAGACATCGCTATGGCAAGATACAAACGCAACCACGATTATCTCTCAGAGATCTTCACCCCCTACAATGCAGGTAATTGTCACAAGAAGAACCAATAGCCACCCTCCCCTTGACACCTTCCTTTTTATTAGATCACATTGTACCGCCACCTTTTGATATCACTCAGACCAAGGATGAACTACAAAAGCTGATGGTGAGAAGACATCTGGCACCCACAAGGAATCTCACTCCCTCTTCTTTTTTTCTAGGATGACCAACACCAAGCTATCAAGCAGCAAGAACAAGAACACAAGGAGAAAATGGACAAATTCATACATGAACGAGATCTGTATTGGTCCAACCTGACGAAATTAAACGACGCCACCTCGCTTGAGGTAAGAGAAAAAAAAAAAAAAAAGAAAACCGCTGTCTTGCTCACCTCAAAGTTCTCATGGTAACAGGACATGGATCAGCAAGCACAAGCCATTGCTTCGATGATGAATGCCAAAGTGGAAACTGTGACCGAACGTGCCCAGGCTCACCAAATACCCGGTTTGAAGGATGAACCTCTACCTTCGCCTCCACCACCAGCCCCCGCAGCCCCCGCCAATCACTCGACCCCTGATGTTGCCATGCACATCGATCAGCCATCCCAAGACTCTTCACACCACCATCATCAACAGGACCCTGCATCATTCCAGCAGCACATCCACCACCACACGCCTACCTCTGACCTTCCTCCTACCTCTGTCGCCCAGGACGATAAGCACCATGACGTTGACATGTACACCAACTTTGATCAAGCCCACACTGACAAGTCCAACGATGACTTTTTCAATGAGATGCTCAATACCAACGATGATGACCCTTCTGTCAGCGAATTTATGGACTTTGAACAAGAAAAAACCGACGAACAATAAGACCATTAGATCAACAAGAATAAATGTTGGCATCGTTTTTTGTTTTCTTTCTCCAACCGTGCCGCCAGCAACAGACCACTCCTCTTATGTGCTATTTTTATGGCAGGCATGCTGCTGTCATGGAAAGAAGTGAAGAGGAGGAAGACAGGAGAGTAAGCTGCATTTGGCCTCTGCAGCCTATTTTTTTTTTCGCCATTGATCTCAGGCAACCTGGTTTTTAAAAAAAAATTCCTGCAAAGAACTGTCATCACACGTCAAGCGGTTATCGACAAACGGGAAATGCCAACATTACCATCAGCCTCCAACCTTGGTGCTCTACTTATCGTTGCCCTCAAGATCAGAACACAGGAGGGAAAAAAAAAAAAGGAAGGTGCTTTCTCCACGAACTGGCTCGATTTTTTCAAACTTTTTTTAGCGACCGTCCATATTGATGACCAGCATTGGCTCTTTTTTTTTTTCAAGACGGTCGTTTTTACCACGGAACCAACGTTGATTTGGAAAAGAAAAAAAAATTGGTGACCAAATGAAAAAATATCGGATAACCCGAAACAAACCTGACAGCCAATGGGTATTTCTTTTTTTTTTTTGATATTGACATGGATCATTGTGCAAGGTGACCAAAAAAAAAAAAAAAAAAGGCTGGCGCTGGCCGGAAAAAACCATTGGCTGTCCAAAACTTTCTCTGTCCTGTCGACACAAAGAAGAGACCAAAAACAAACAGGTTTGCAATGGTAGGATTCGAACAGATGAAGTAGATATGCTGTCACTTTAGCATTTTTAGATGCTACTCATCCATAATTGGACGCCGGTCGGAATCTAAAAAGTCGTCGCTTTTTTTTTTTTCTTCGCGTCCTTCCCAGATTAATGAAGCTGCCATCAAGTAGGCACATCAGCAGATTTTTATCAACAGTATACCATGAAGAAGTGACATGACACAAAAAAAGTACAATGTCATTTTAAACTGAGGACGTTACCAAGGTCTTCACAGTGCAATGACATTTTTTTGAAATCACGATTTCCATATTTGGCAACTCTGCCACACACTCTAAAATGACGACAAAAATTAAACCGTTTGTAAGATATTTCTTTAAGTTATTGCTAAACTTCAATATTGGCTTATCTGTATATTTAGAGCTTGCATGTTAATCAGGAAGCACCCCGATGCCTGTAGGCAAAAATTTTGCGCAAAAATTTCCGTACTCCACTGATATATGTCTCCCCGCTTTGAAAAATATCTCTCTCAGATAGTATAGTGGTGAGTATCCCCGCCTGTCACGCGGGAGACCGGGGTTCAATTCCCCGTCTGAGAGTTCTTTTTCCTTGAGCGACTTTCAAGGATGTTGATTTTTTTTTACTTGACCTCCAATTTATTTTTTTTACCTACTACTGTCACATTTGAGGCAGAGGTAGAAGGTAATAAAAAGGCATTCTTTATTTCATATCAAAAGTGGGGATATTACAATATAAAAGTCTTTTTTTGAATGTGAATGATGATTTTCCCTGCGCGACAGATTTACACTCTAGAGCACCTGCCATATTTGGTAGTGGCAAGTCATGCCAAAGAAAAAGCGGCAAAAAAATTCATTTGCCGACAACATAAGACTAGCAAATCTCCAAATTCGATCTCCGGTTATTCGGCATGTTCTCCCCAAAAAAAAAAAAGATTTTTTTTTCTGAATTCAGATGACGAGGTGAGGGAAAGGCTGTAATAGAGATTGAGAATTTATACGGTAGGGGAAAATAAAGATGGCAATGATGAACGACTGAGGGCACGGATGATATGATATGTGAATGCCAATGAATGAGTGATGACTTTTTTTTGGCAAAAACAGATGCTAATTCCCTGTGCATCCGGCTCTAACATCAATTTCCCCCGGCCAATGGCGATAGCCCGGATCGCCGGGTCCAGCGATCAGATGGTGATCTGATTGGTTAAATCGCTGATCACGTGACATATGACGATCATGTGACCTCTGGAACTTCAACGTTCATCAAGTCAGTGTGTCCGAGTGGTTAAGGAGTGTGACTAGAAATCACATAGGCTCTGCCTGCGTAGGTTCAAATCCTGCCGCTGACGCATCTTTTTTGCTCATCCCGAGACGGGATGTCTATTTTTTTTAAGTGGCGTTGAACACCTCGCCACTTCCTGCAGGGCTGGTGTTAATGATTTTTTTTCGCCGCTTCGGCGATGGGCATTGTTTTACAACTCAGCTGGGATGATTCCATTTAGGGAAGGCGTTCTCCTGCTGACTGTTGAGGGGTAGACTATCAAGTTGGTGGTTTATTTTTATTCTTGGATCAGGTTATACTGTAATTCATAAAATGTTTGCAGCAGGTTATGATTGATAATCCGGGCCAAGTTTTGGAGAAAATTTACTGTCAGAGCAGATCAAGCAATAGGGCGGTGAATTTGATCCGTCCTTTTTTTTATCCATCCTTTTGCTCTTTGCCTCTGGACAACATTGTTGGCACCTGGTCAACCTTATTACTGTATGTAATAAGATTTGACTTCGCCAAGCTCATACTGTATATAGTGAACTCCGGTCGCATACATGAAGTATGCTTTGCAAGTGCACTGTTAAATTTATATACCAAAAAGGGTGGCAGTTCCAAAAGAAAAAAAAACTACAGCGCGCTGTTGGAGTCTGATTTTAGCTGCAAACCAGTAAGGAGCGTCTGGAGATCGGTGACGAACTGATGGGTATGCTGAGCCTCAGCGTAGCCAAACACAAAGCCGACAATCAAACAGACAATGGACAAGGCAGAGGCAGCGATTAAGAACGGACCAACCACCAAAGGCAACAGCCACAGGATCACTGACTGGTGCACAGGGTTATACACATGGATTGGAACCACAACCATGGTGATATAAAAGAGGAGGACGAGGAGAAGGAGCAACAAGAAGGTAACAAGTAGCCGACGTGACATTCTCTGCATGGTATGGTGGTCGGTCTGCAGAATAAGCGTGATTTCTTGCACTGTGGCCATGGTCAGGTTGGTCTGGCAGGGATGCAAGGGGGAGAGCTTGGGTGAAGTGGCTGCACAGATACGGAATGTGGAGCACACACCGAAATGGTCAGAGTGGCTGAGGGAGGTACCTGGGATGGGGTCAACCAAGTCGACATACGAATCGATGCATTCCAATTGGGCGGTCTTTTTGTAAAACACGTAATCCAGCCGACTGCCTTTTGGCTGGAGCGCGCCATAGTGTTTGGACCAAGAGTTGATGGACGAGTTACAAGTGATGCCATGGCGCTGGATGAACTGCAGTTGGTCATCATTGATATCCTGTTGCTGGTCGCTGGCTATGCCATTGGTCAAAGATGCATGCACCTCTGCCCATGAGTCTGTCATGAAACCATGGTCACGCAAGACCTGATAATTGTAGCTGGTGGGTATGCTGTTGAAATCGCCTGTCTATGAAGAAAAAAAAAAAGAAAGTGAGCACCCACTCAGATATCTTGGTTGAGAGTCGAATTACAACAATGACTTGGCGGCCCTGACTCATGGCGTCACGTATCATTGAGGTCAGTTCCCAAGTTTCACTGATACGGTGGCCGCGATATTCATCAGCCACACCATAACCTGCGTGGAGCTAAAAAGAAACCAAAAAAAAAATGAGTATCCAAGTGATTTCAATTTTTTCACCGTACGTGGGTTGTGAAGAGTTGCAACAGGCCAAGGGCAGGGTGATCGATGCAAGCAGAAGCGCAGCCTTTGCCCACATAGAAGTCACCATGAAATATTTTCAATGGACGTCCAGCCAGAGTGTATCGCCAGTATGAAGTGGAGACAAAGGGATGTTTGCTGAGCAAGACAAGGCCGCTCCCAAGCGTGCCACTGTTGAAAAAAAAAAAAAGTGTCAGCTTTGTGCGCGGCCTTTGGCTCCTGACCTGTAAAAGTATTTGGCAAATGGCAATGTGTTGACAGTTTTTTCTCTGATGCATTCATAGTCATCCTGCACCCAGACTTCTTGTAATGCGACCAAATCATAATCACCTTTAGAAAGATAATCGGCAATGGCTTTAAGACGTTTTTCTCGTTGTTTGGAAACAAGCAGCAATCCCCTAGATTAATAAAAGTAGACAAGTGTCCATGCGCCAGTGTTTCAAATGCACTTGGTTCTTACTTACCAGCAGTTCAATGATAGCACGCGCAGTAACGATGAATCAACCATTCACACATTCAAAAAAAAAAAAAAGCAAGAGAACTGAGAAGAGTCGAAAAAAAAGGACGGGCAGCTCTATCAGCGGTATCTGAAAAAGGTGCGCTTAACGCTTGTGCTTTCAACAGGAAGTAATGCAAGCTGCCACGAAAAAAAAAAAAACGTCTGTGCTTCATAAAGAGGATTTGCATTTTATGTTTAAAGAAAACTGATCAAATGTAGCCTAGATATTACAATCTACAGAGTCGAAGTTGGATTCATTGCATGAATAGAGTGGAAAATAAGCTGGCAAGCTGAAATCGAGGCTGCTCGTTGGACGCTGTGTGGTGGTTCACTTGTGATTTCATTGATCTTAGCAGAAGCAGTCTAGTCCATGTCTTTCGAGGAAACGATGCTTAATTAATGAGACGTTCTATTTATCTTTTTCTCTACATTTGGTGAGTGTTTTCGCAAAGCAGGGAGACCACAAGTCATCTGCTCTGCCTTTTCAAAAAAAAAAAAAAGGATGATACTTGTCCTTCGCTTTAAGCAGCAGAGGCTCATCTTCGTGGGACATGGCTTAAAGAAAAAGTGTTTGCCTCTCAGCTCCTACGCCCAACCAAAAAAAAAAAAAAAAAATATAAAAATAAAAAATCACATGTTGACCACTTTTGAGAGCGAGAGAGGGAGACGGTGGTCTAGTTTGGAAGGTCGATCTAAGAAAAAGAGGGTGAGGAATCCGAGTTTTCTTAATGAATTTGATATGGGGGGCATTGGAGCACTAAATTTGATGAGGGGCAAATTGCAAACAAATTTGACAACGTCGCACAAACCCAGCGATGATGCATATTTAAACACTTGGACAGTGGCAAACAGAAAAAAGGTGTCTCCTTAAATTTTCTGTTAAAAGATCAAGATGAAAGGAGGACGTTTTGGTAAATGGAAATTAAAATCCTTGCCGCCAACGAGCAGCTTTCGCCTGCCTACCCACCAACGCGCCGATTCCCCGACATCTGACACAGCAGCACTGATTGTCGATCCGACGGTACAGCCAGCTCGACATGATCTTGAACGCTTTGATACTATGGGGTTCTACAAGCAGGGTGCCAAGCATGATGTAGGGGTGCAAGATGACGACGAAGAAAAAAGGAGCCTGGTCAAAAAAAAGAAAAGTGTTGTGATGCATTACAAGAAACACGGCTTTCGATCCACCCTATTATTTTTACTCCCTGTCCATGGTAAGATGGGTAGGGATGCGGGCCATCCGTTTGCTGTTTTGACCGAGGACCAAGCCAAGCAGCTACCACTGCACCACCAGCACCATCCACCTGCCGACGCCTACCGATCGCCTACGCCCATGATGTCCGATCGAGCGACACCAATGTCACAAAGGGCACCGACGCCAATGTCAGCAAGCCAAGGGTGGCCCTTTGGCCCTTCGATGCAGCATCCTCCTGCGGAAAAAGGGCAGCGCATCCCTTTGTTTTCCTACATCTTTGCCTTGATGGCGGGCATTTTGCTGATATATGGATTTATTCAATTCAAGAATGAATACAGTGCTGTGCTGTCCTTATCACCCTTCAACATTTATCTGGGAGTCAATGCTCAGACGCTTGTCCGAACTGGCGCTTTGTTCCCTCCGTGTATGAGGGCCTCTCTTGAACTGACGCCTTCACAGTCTTACCCATGTGCCAATGCCAGCAAGTGCCAAAAAAAAAAAAAAAAAAAAAAAAAAAAAAGTGGGCCGTAGCTGATCGTTTCCATCCAATATTTGATCAGGTGGTTCCATGTTGACAGCTCCAAGCTGGGTGTATGAGATCCCAATGACAGGTGGTGGGACATGCCAATTAGAAAATGTGTGTGGCCTGACTCCATTTAAAAGTGCGCAGGCACCAGATCAAGCGTTCCGCTTTCTGACGGCACTTTTGACCTCGGGCGGAGTTTTTCAATATGTGATCAATATGTTGTTTTTACTCTCGTATGGAGCCATGGTAGAAAGGCAAATGGGCACGCTTCGCTACATTTATATTTTTATTGTGTCTGGGACGTTTGGCTATTGCTTTGGCAGCGTGTTTATTCATGACAATGTTGGTAAGTTGGCCAACAAACTTGCCAGTCCCGCTCCCATTCACCCATTTTTTTTCATCCCGTTTTAATTTAGCATTGATGGGTTGTCTTGTGCCGATCTTTGGCTTAGCAGGCGCTTCTTTGATGGATGGTTTCCGTTCTTGGCAATCCACATTATACCCCGGATCACCTATTCTTAGATTTCTATTGGTGATAGGTACACTAAAAAAAAAAAGACAAACGAGGTCACTGCTAATTTATTTATTTTTTATTTTTTAGTGCTTGGTGTCATTGTAGGCTATTTGCCTGGGTAACACAGAAAAAAAAAAAAAAGATGCCACTCTGATGCCAATGTCTTTAGGTACAACAATTTCTGTCATTTGGGAGGTCTCATGGGTGGGATTTTAGCACAATGGTCCATTTGGTCTAGCCAAGCCAAGTTTCTAGAACAGCGTGTCCGATGGCTGATGATGATGGCGTTTCGTCTGATTGCCCTGGTGGCATTGATTGTGCTTTTTTATGAAGTTCTCTCCAATTTTTATACCAATCACTCATGGTCGCAGGTAAAGCTGAGCAGATTATTTCGTTTGGATCCCTCACCCTTCCTTTTTAGGGCTGCAACTGGTGTCAATTTGTGTCCTGTCTACCATTTTACAATACGTGTAGCTCTCTTTGAATCTCACCCTTTCCATTCATTGCATGTCATTTGATTCCCACAAAAATGTAGATAGCAATAAAAAAGTCGTTTATTTACAATGAGGGTGGTTGGTATCTAATGATGAAAAAAAAAAAATGAGCTTGAGCAAGCCGTCAATACCGAGCAAAAATTTACCCAGACGTTTGTTCTAATGCTTGGTTTGGGTCTA